GAAACCCTTGACAAGTTCAAGGCAGTTCTGCTTCACTCCAGAGACAAACCCCCAGGAAAGGCTAGAGTAGAACCTGGCAGCAGGAGAGGAGAGGAAGAGCAGCAGCTGGGAAGCAGGGGAGCAGGAATGGATCATGAGGACAGAAGGTAGACAGCCTACCAGGATAAGAAACCTCAGGACAAACATGAAAAGAACTGTGAAAATGGGACTGGCTGGAAGAAAGGATGGGGTTCCCTGGAGGGATTTCTAAACTGTGAAAAAGGGAAACAGCTGTGAGGGAACAAAAGGGAAAGCATGCAGTTCTGCCATAGCAGATTGCTCATCTATTGGACCTAGAACCAGGGTTGACTGTTTATGGTGATGTGCAACACAGGATGTTCTAGGACAACAACCTGGCAAAACCTACTTAGGTTCTTCAAGTAGCCACAGTTGTATGACAGAGGTAAGAAGCGTTGACTTGTAAAACTGTGCACCTATCCAGCACAAACAGGTCACCAACCAAACTGGATCCAGTAGCATGGGGGAGGGGCTGCAGATGCTGCTCTCATTGTGACTCCACCCATTCTGCCTGAATCACAGGATTCTGGCCACACCCCGACTTCATGTTTCTCTGACCAATGGGATACAAGAATGGAGGCCACGCCCACATTCTATGCTGCATAATAGCACTGGGATCCCCTCTATTGGCTCACACCACTAAAGGAGTTGAAGGAGGTAGAGGTGGTGAGTGGTGAGTGAGCAAATTGAGCGGATTTTGAAGAAATAGTTGGAGGTAGAGAGAATTACTTGATTTTAGACAGCCTGGGAATGTGGCCCCCCCACCTTCGCCGTCCCAGTGCTGGTATGTCTGAGAAAAAAAGAGAAAAAAAAGTAGCTGCAGGAAGGAAACTACTGCAACAATACCAGCAGAGGAATGGTCCTGCTAGACCTGGAAGATCCAAGAAGAGGAAAATGAAAGAGGGAGGTAACCCCAAAACAAACACCTCTGGGGACTGTCCTTTACTCAAGGGTGCGGCCCAAGACCACGCAGACCCTGAGCCTCCCCCTCCCCTGGGCACTGTCACAGCTGCCAGGGTCCAGAGCGTCACAGGTCCCAATAACACCAAGGACCTGGAGAGACACAACCAACACCTGGTGCTTGCCCTGGACTCCAGCACAATACAAAAGCAGCAGCTCTGCACTGAGATCCAAGAGCTGCAGGATCAACAGGGAAAAGACAAGGAGAAGATGGCCTGTGTGCACGAAGCCCTGAAAGCAGAGCTGGAGCAGCACAAGCTGTCGATACAGATGCTGATTCGAGAAAAAGCAGACTTACAATCTGCCCTGGCCCACAAGCAGCAAGAGGCCGATGAAAGAGCACTGGAGCAGGAGGGTCTTACCAGCTGCCTGCAGGCTGCACAGCAGCGCGTAACAGAACTGGAAACAACATTGTCTGCAGTCAACACCACGCAGAATGAAACTGAGAACAACAACATAGAGCTCATGAAAGCCCTGAATCGCGTGAAGCTGCAGCTCCAGGAAAAGGCCAGAAGTATTGAAGACCTGGAGGATGAGAACACCGAGCTGCAGGAGAGGCTGGAAGTGCTCCTGACACAGAAGGCCAACATGAAAATGGAAATCCACAAGTTCCAAGAGGAACTAGTGGAGCGGGCAGAGTTGGAAAGCCAACTCAACAACATGAAGGAGTTGGTGGCAAAATTAAAGGAGGAGAGAGACACCTTTGCGGAGGACCTGAGGCTGGAGAGCTCCACGGGGAAGGAGAAAGTCCAGCAGCTGCTAGAGCAGGTGAGCCAGCTGAGAGAGGAGAAGGAGCAAGGGGTGAGGCAGGTGTTGGAGTTGGAGAGCAAGCTGGTGGAGCTGAGAGAGCAGCTGTCAGAGCTGCGGCCCCCAGAGCCGCCTGCAGGGCCAGCTCAGGCTGAGCAGCAGCTGCAGGCCCACACCCTGCAGTTGCAGAAGGAGCTCAAGACCCTGGAGGAGCAACTTCACCTCCAGGTGGAGGAGAACCAGAGCCTCAGTCTCCAGAACCTGGAGCAGCAGCAGCGGCTGTGGATACTGGAAAAGAAGGCTGAGGAATGGGCACAGCATGCCGAGGACCGGCGCAAGATCCTGGAGACCATGGAGAAGGAACAGGAGACCTTGAAACGCACGCTGGTGCACAACCGCCAGCTGAAAGAAGAGCTGGCCCAGCTGCAGGATGCCTTGCAGAGGCTGAGCGCTGAGAAGGGGGAGCTCGCCAGCATCCTGCACACAGAGCAGCAGGAGAAGACAACCCTGCAGGCGAAGCTGGATGAGCTGGAGGAGGAATTCAAAGAAGGAAAAGACGTGGCAGAGTTCACGCGCCAAGCAGCTGAGGATCTGCAGGAGCTGCATGACAAGTACCTGGCCCAGGTGCAGGAGCTGAGCGCCACCTGCAAACAGCACAAGGCCACCAGCCAGCAGCTGATGTCAGAGAAGGAGGCCCTGCAGCAGCACCTGCTGAATCAGAGCCATCTGATGGAGCAGCTGAAGCAGGAGCAGGTGCAGAGCAAGTTGCTGGCCCAGATGGAAAGGGAGAAGTTACAGGACACTCTGAAGTGTCTGGAAGCAACAAGACAGGAGAATGCGCAGCTGCGGGCCCAGCTGAGCGCCCTGGCTTTCCCCAGGGAAGATGAAGGCCTGAGCCAAGACGAAGACAAGGGTGAGGAGGCGACTCCCCATGATGTGACTGTTCCAGACGACGTAGACAACCCGCAGAGCATGTGGGATTTTTACATGGACGCACTGTCCATCGCAGAAGGCAGGAAGGCGAGGATGAGCCGGCAGCTGCAGGAGCAGCAGGCCCGCTGCGGGTGCCTGAGTCAGCTGGCAGCCCAGTGCCAGAGAAAGCTGGAGAGCCAGGCCGCCTTCCCCCAGCGCTGCATCCACAGGCTGTTCGGCAAGAAGAAGCAGGACACACAGGCGCCCAAGAAGCAGCTGCACATCTGCTTCCCCGAAGACCTGGCCAGCAAGGGACACCCCCAGAGTCACGTGGATGACCTCCACCATCGCTGCAGCCAGCTGACCCAACACCTGACCACCATGGAAGAGACCATCGTGCTGTACAAGGAACAGCTAGAAGTCCTGGAGAAGCTGTGTCAGGAGAAAGAGCAGTGTGTGAGCCAGCTGTCCCAGGAGAAGAGGAGGAAGAGGAAGGAGCTGAAGGAGCTGTTGCTGCGCCTTACAGGGGAGAGCACAGAGTGCCAGGATATGATGCTGGCAGCCGCCCAGACCCCTGCTACCGAGGACCCCTCAGACCTCTCAGTCCCCCTGAAGACCGAGGTCAGGGAGGAGCAGCAAGGCTGTGAAGATATGCATCTTCAAGAAAGCTTGAAGCCTGTCCCTGAAGAGGCTGGGGCCCCTGGGCCCCTGGAGAGCCCCACTGCAGAGCCTCCTGTGCCGCTGCTGCCTGCCATCCAGCCCCAGCAAGAGCCCACAGACGGGGGCGAAGAGTCCTGCCTCCCTTTCTTCTATAAGCCACAAGCAGATGATGTATTTGAAATCATCACCATCTAAAGACTGGTACTACTCTCCTCCAAATTGTACCTTTGGACATGAGAGTTTCATTGTAATATGATGATGAGAGAAAACGGGTGACTGTAGGTCAGACAGAGCAGAGGCCGCTAGAAATTGGTCCACACTTGTGGGACACGTAAGAGTCCATTGGTTACCAGAGGAGAGGCCCAGGTGAGGCTTATTACAAGGAGTAATTTCTTTATGAAAGAATATGGGAAGTGATAACATAATTTAATGATATTATTTCATGACTTCTATATCAGTAAACTCATCACAGTATTTCCTAAAACAATCTTATGCTAATTAATTTATGGAGTATTCATAACTCATTCTCTCAAATGAGTTATTTCCGTATTTAATGCTACATATTGGTACACTCATGAATTCTTCACAATTATTTGTGCTCTCTACCATTATCAGTGAATTTTCTTATTTGCATTCCAATATACAACAATGGGTACACTGAAGTAATTAAAGGCCAGTAAAAAACTGAAAAACAAGAAAACGTTAAATTTGACAGTTTGGAAAAAAATTAGTAAAATCATTGCAGGTGTACTCTAATTGAAAAACATCCACTGAAGAAATTCAGAAGTGTGATACAAAATAAAATACAGTTATGGGACCATCTACAGTGAGAATATCAAGCATCTCAAATTTTCACTTATGAATTGTTCATGTATGTGTTAATTGATATATGTGGCATATTGTTCATTGAATAAAAATATTAAAACTCATTTATTCTCATTCTTTCTTCACACACTGCTTGAATGTATTAGAGGATAAAAAATTTCCGGGCACTGGTGGCTCATGCCTGTTATCCTAGCTACTCTGGCAGCTGAGATCTGAGGATCACTTCTGGAAGGCAGCCTGTGGAGAAAAGTCTCTATGAGACTCTTATCTCCAATTAACCTGGAAGTGAAGCTGTGGGTCAGAGTGTTAGAATGCTAACCTTGAGCCAAAAGGGCTCAGGGATGGAATTCAGGCCCTGAGTCCAAGACTCACAAACAACAAAAAATAAACAAATAAAAATTAAGTACGGTAGCTGGCTTCTTGGGACTCACACCAGTAATACAAGCTACTCGGGAGGCTGAGATCTGAGGATCGCAGTTTGAAGCCATACGGGTCAGAAAAAGTCCAAGAGATACTTATTTTCAATTAACCACCCAAAGAGCTAGAAGCCAAGCTGTGGCTCAAGAGGTAGAGCTGTAGATCTGAGCAGAAAAGCTCAGGGAGAACACCCAAGAACTGAGTTCAATCCTTAGGACAGGCACCAAATAAATATGTTTGTGGCAAAATTTATGGTTTGGACAGCACTGGTGTAGCTTTGTGGTTCATGACACAAAACTAGTGACTATGAAAGGAAGAAGAAGAATTCAAGTTTCCCATGATGAAAACCTCCTTGCCTCTAGTCCTTACACTGGAGAAGAGTCCTATCCAAGTGGGGTGGGAAGGGACACTAGAGGAAAAACAAAAGAGGGGTAACAATGCACGCTAGGAAAGGCATTACCCTACTCATGTAACTGTAACCCCTCTGTACAGTATCTTTACAATCAAAGAAAAAGAAGAAGAAGGAAAAGCCAAGTTCTCATTGAAAAAAAATTTTTTTCTGAATAGACTGGTTACTTCAGTAACTGCCATAATTACTCTCCTCTGAATAAGCAAGGCTCCCTTCCCACCAAGAAGAGCAGTCCATTCTTTCTTTGAACCTGGGCTGGCTTTGTAACCTTTCACCATCAGAAAAAAGTGATGGAAAAAATACTGTTGAGTGCAGCCTGCAACAGGCACCACCCCTTTAGTTTTGCTCATGTGTAGAAATGGGCAAGGTGTAAAGTAACTTCGGCTAGAATCAAAGAAAGGTTGGACAAATGGGACTGCATGAAGCTGTAGAGCTTCTGCATGGCAAAGGACATAGCTAGCAAGATCAATAGAAAGCCCATGGATTGGGAGAAGATCTTTACTAGCCATACAACAGACAAGGGTCTCATATCTAAAATATACTTAGAACTCAAAAAATTCAATCCCCCAACAACAAATCCTCAAAGAAACAACCACCTGATTAATAAGTGATCTAAAGACTTAAAGAGAAACTTCTCTGAAGAGGAAATAAGAATGGCCAATAGACACATGAAGAAATGCTCAACTTCTCTAGCCATAAAAGAAATGCAAATCAAAACACCATTGAGATTCCACCTCACCCCAGTTAGAATGGCTATAATCAAGAACTCTAATAACAACAGATGCTGGAGGGGATGGGGACAGAAGGGAACCTTACTGTATTGTTGGTGGGAGTGTAAACTTGTTCAACCACTTTGGAAAGCAGTATGGAGGTTCCTCAAAAGACTTCACATAGAGCTCCCCTATGACCCAGCAATCCCACTTTTGGCCATTTACCCAAATGATCACAAACAAGACCAAGCTACCAGCACAACTATGTTTATTGCAGCATTATTTATTATAGCTAAGATGTGGAAGCAACCCAGATGCCCCTCAGTAGATGAATGGATCAAGAAAATGTGGTGTATATATATATATATGTATATATACATATATATACATATATATATATATACACAATGGAATTCTATGCCTCCATGAGAAAGAATGATACTGCCCCATTTGTTAGGAAATGGAAAGACTTGGAAAAAATTATATTAAGTAAAGTAAGCCAGGCCCAAAGAAACATAAGTTCCATGGTTTCCCTTATTTGTGATAACTACTACATGTGTAGGACCACAGAAAAGTCCAAAAGCCATGTATGTAAGACCATATAAGATGATGTTAAGTGAAATGAACCCCAAGATAGGGACACAAATGTCTTTTTTCTTTCTTGCTCTTCTTTCTAATGGATAATGTACCATGTGATTTTTTTTTTGTTTCTTTGTACATTCCTCCCCCATGGTATAACCCCTATTTATTTTCACTGTATTTGATGTCAGTGCCCTGCATCTTGTATATACACTTCTCTAATCTGGGGAGGGGAAGGGAAAAAAATGCTTAAATAAAGACATAGGATGACCCATTGTAACAATGAGATGTACAAGACACTATGTTGAAAATCAACTTTACAACTTCGGTGGTGGGAGGGGTAATTGTGGAGGTGGGATGGAAGGGATGGTAGGGGGAAACAAAGGAGGAGGCAACAATGCTCAATAGGAAATGTACTCATTACCTTGCTCATGTAACTGTAACTCCTGTGTACAGCATTTTTACAATAAAAACACACACACACAAAAAAAGCATTCAATAAAATTCTGATTTTTAAAAGAATAAATCTTATTTTACCCGAGTCTGGAACTTCATCTGTCTCTTAAAGCATAATAGGCAATGTATTGACTAAATGTTTGCTTTTTGTTTTGGTGTTGGTCCTAGAGCCTGAACTCAGGGCTTGGGCACTCTCCTTGAGCTCTTTTTGCTCAAGGCTAGCATTCTATCACTTGGTTTCTACGTCCAGCTTTCTGATGGTTAATTGGAGATCAGAGTTTCACTATTGATTTTTCTGCCCAGGATGGCTTTGAATCTTGATGAATCTCAGCCTCCTGAGCATTACAAGTTTAAGCTATTAGGGTTCACCTTCTAAGATAATTTAAAAATAGCAAAATCGGATATTAAAAAAAGAAAATGCATATATTCCATGATAACTGATAATATGAAGGAAAAATAATTCTCTTAAGATATGTGTATTAGTAAAACCATGCTTTTATTTAATTGGATAAGGTAGATCGAGACTCATAATACATTTTCATACTATAACATCCTCCCAAACAATTTTCAGAAATAATAAGGTTGGTGCTAGTGGCATGTGCCTGGCAAAAGGCCAGTGTCTTTCCTCTTGTTTTTTTTTTAAATTTTTTAGATGTAAGTACTTTAGATTGCTGTTGCTGCCAGTACAGAGGCCTAGCCTGAAGGCCTGAGTCCTCTCCCTTAGCTTCTTCATGCCAGAAGGTGTTTATTTATTTATGTAAAAACTCTACCAGGAAGCTACATCTCTAGCTGTATTCTGTGTTTTAGCAGGAGAGTTTCTGTTGTTTCATTTGGTACTAGGGCTTTGACTCTCTAGATAGGCACTCTACCACTGAGCCACAACGGAGCCCACTTTAACTAGTTTAAGAGCTCAAATTTGTATATCAAAAAAATAAAATTTGTTCTTATGGAAGTTGGAATACTGAACTGCAACTCCTTTATACAAGACTTAAAGAAAACAAAAATAAATAAATAAATAGTCTAAAATTTTAGTTGGCTTCAAAGGATAATTTCATTGTAGGTAGAATTCTTGTATGAGTACTAACAAGGATTTAGGATAATCTTCAAATTGTAGCCTTTGTATCAATGAGCATGCCATAAAGCCTAGTAGTTTAAAAGGTACAGTTCAAAATACATGTAAAATCTTTTCTTTCTCATGTCTTTTTAGTTTTTGTCTGGTCCTGGGCTTAAATTCAGGGCTTGGATGCTGTCTTAAGGCCACAATTCCACTTCTGGCTTTTGGATGGTTCATTAAAGGTAAGTGTCTCCCCCAACTTTCCTCCTCATCCTGGCTTTGAACTGGAATCCTCAGATCTCAGCCACCTGAGTAGCTAGGATTACAGGTGTGAGCCACCAGCATCTGGTGTCATTTTGAGTTTTCTAAAGGCACTTTTTTTTTTTTCAAACCCAGTAAACCTATTTATTGGATAGTTTGGAAGTCAGGAAATTGTTTTTTTTTCCTTCCTATTAGGGATTTTAATGCTATTGGCATTAACTGTGTTTAAGGTTCCACGGGATGAGACTTTTCCATTGGACTAACTCTTCTCATTGCTCCCTAGATCCTGGGCTAAGAATGGGCAATCAGCCAATCAATCTCAAGGATGAGTTTAAGCTCTCTCTTGCTCAGTATGCAAAACAGCCAAGCCTCTAGATATCAGGATTAACTTAATTTCCTGTCTCTAAAAATAATCAGTGCTTCTCCCCTAACTGTGAATAAATATTTACACTAATGAGGAAAATCTGTTGATACTCACTTAATA